ATGATCCCAAAATAGGACTATGGGCCTAGGGAAAGTGAAACAGGGAAGGAGGGAAACTCAAACAAGGATGTATTCCTCTGTCAGATACATTCCTACAGGAGGCAGATGAAGCTCCATCCTGCTGGGACCCTCTATGCAGTAGTGTAGAAAGCACTTCAAAATCATCCACCCTCGAGACAAGCAGGGAGCAGTTCACTGATTCTGTTTCTTTGTGGTGTCAGGGTTACCCAAGGACACTGTAATCCCCTCACTCTTCCAGACTGTGCACACCTAAGTGAAATGAGGGTTCCCACAAAGGATGGGGTGATGGGAGGGGAAGTAAGCATTTCACCACAATGTGGCTGAGGGGAGGTGCTGTCAAGCCGTGGGACACATGTTATAGTGGCAAGTGCTAGAGAGAAAGGGACTGAGTGGTACAAGGTGGGCCCAAGAAAGACAACACTGCTTCAAGCACTGCAGAACAGCTGTGCCTAGAAAGAGATAATAGCAGAATTCCCACAAAATTCACCATACTTTTGGAAAGTCCTTTATTAGAAAATATTTCATATAAAAAATATATGAAAATATGGTTCTTATATATTTAATATTTTTGCTTTTGTTAAAAATGTGAAGTATTATTTCCAGTTTTGTGTTCCTGGAAGCCATGTGTTCACGGGAGTGAGTACACAATCATACACTTGTAAGGGAGGGGAAAACACACACGCTTGTTTTTATATATACCAACATATTTATATTCTTTAGGTTTTGCCTAATGGCTAATAATGAAGACAAGGGAAATTACCAAAATGGCTCATCCAAATGCCTTTGAAACTTAAAATTGCAATTTTAAAATTTATAATGGAAAAGGAAGGACATACATTTTAAAACAGTCACACTGCAAGACCCTCTGCCAGAATGTCAATCTGGAAGAAATATATAATTTAAGTTTCAAGCATATGACAAGGACAATAAACAAAATGTAAAGAGAGGGGGGAAAACCCCTGAAGGTATTGTCTTTCTTTTTTTTTTTTCTAAACTAACTCAAACACATAGAATGGTAAAGGCAAAGTCATTTAAATCATTTTCTTAGTAATACAAGTAATATTTAAATAGATTTAATAGTGCTGCTCCAAACCAATGAATTATGGGTTTAAAACCTATTAAAATGTAATGTTTTTTTCCTGAGCTGAGAGGAAAGAGATTTAAATCCACTGAATTTTAATATTTCAGCTTGAGCTGCAGGAGGTAGAGAAAGTCCAAATGAACTATTCCATCAGCACCATTCAAGCATGAACATTTTAATCAGTTTTACTTCCTTGGAGTTCTCTAACACAGTTTACGCTGTCATTCTGAAAGCACTTAACACAGAGAGTGTGAAAAACCACCAAGGCTTGTTATTGCCTTCACAATTGATGGCAAATAATTTTGCAGACTTCCTATCATTAAAATGTCACTGCTAAAAATTGAAGTTCAGCATTTCTTGTGCTAAACTGCATTTTCCTATAACACCATGGCATACCTGTTTCTTAAGGGTTTTTTTGGGGGGTGCTTTTTTTTTTTAAATGCATAAATTTCTATCATTTTTCCTTCTCAAAGAATTAGCTTTAAAAAGTAGGTTGGGGGGTTTCCAAAGGAGCCATATTTTCTATTTTTACAAGCCAAACATTTTCTTTTCTAATATTCACACTGACAAAACTTTTTTTCTTAATGGTAGTTTCTTTAGTGAAATTCTTATGAGGTTCCAAGTTTGCCTCCTTTATTAAGCATAACCACATTCACACAGCATGCACTGATTATATAGTGTAATGGATTTAAAAAGCATTTTAAGATAGTCAGATGACTCAATTTAATAATACAGGAAATGAAAACATCATTTCTAATTAGATCATATTACTGATTTAAAACTACAATTTGTGTGTTGTTCCAACAGCGTGATCTCGCAGAGATTCTAATTTAAAAACACAGTGGCTAGTACGACACATGACAAAATCAAACTAGATACAAAACATTCCCCCAGCCCATTTTGGGGGAACTTGAGGAAAACATCAAGGAAATGTGAAATACCACCAATTCAAAACAAAACACAAAATAATAACTATAAAAAACAACACAGAAATTTTCCTAGTTTTCTTCCTTATAAATAAAAGATAAATGATATTTAACTTATTTCAATCTATCAACAGTTTTAAACTGAACATGACCTGTGAAAGAAATCATTATAACTGTGTTTCATTCCATTAAACACAACTAGCTTATTGTCAGGAGAACAGCCGCCTCTCCAGGTTTCGGGCTCACTTCAGCATTTTGCATTTAAACTGCATGGATCACTGGTTTGGCTCATTTACCAATGAAGGTAGAATAATATTGCAGAGTTAAAAAGGTGCTTCATCAGATTTCATTAAATCTGGGAACATTTGCTCTTGTCTGGATGGTACGCATACATATAAAACAGTTACATTATGTAGTGATAAATAAATGAAGGTCTGCAGGGGCTTAGATGGGTTTTTGCCTCTCAGAGGAAAACTGTCATTCCCTCAGTGCAGAAAATCACTGCCAACTACATTCTAAAAATCAAGTAACAAAAATCTAAAACTAACCCCTCAACCATTTTTGGTAGCAGTTCAAAACACCACCACCTCCCAACACAACCATGCCCAAGGGGACACAGAACAGATGGTACATTTAAAACGCCACAATGTAACTACACCAAAAACTGGACACAAGGCACTACCTGGATGGAAAAAGACAAAGAGAAGCTCAGCAGCAGAAAGTCAAGTGACTTGTAACTGGGCCCTTTCCTTCTCACTTGGTTCATGGTTCTCTAAAAGTTTTGGGTTGGTTTTCCTATTTCTGCAACCTATTCTTCATAATAGTCAGTTACGGGATTTTTGACTCCATTTTCTGCTCAGACACAAATAGTTTGGAACTCCCACCAGATCCACCAACTATATAGCACATGCTGCTTTGACAGCAGCAGCTCTATTAAGTTAGTTCTTCAAATAAGTTTTTAGGCCACAAAATTAAATAAGCTTTATTTTAATAATTAAATCCATATATACATAATATGTCTCCTCAGTAACTCAGCTCAGTCTAATAAATCATCGTTTTCCTGAGAAAAAGCAATCTGCCATCCTATTCAAAACAAATTATATGGAAATGAAATAGATATAAAACAGTATTAAAAATATTCTTGATGTGATGAAGGTAAGGGAACTTGTTCTGATTTTAGATCTTCCCTCATATTTTTAGGCTATATCCAACACAAAACAGTATGTTCTTATTTAAGCTTAATCTTGCCACTGTACACAGAGAGTCACTAAAAGACTCCAAAAAGAAACAAAAAACCTATTCTGTTCTCCTAGAAAAGGCTGCTAATCAGACATAAGGTAGGATGGCTATCTGTATTTTAGCTGTTCCTACAAACCACAAACTAAGCTAGAAATGAAGCATCAAGCACTCCTATTACATGTCACTCTGCACAGATCTCTCCATAAACAGCAGACAGAATAGTGGTGACAAATGTACCATGGGAGATTTGGTAACAAAAATATATATACAGTCCAATGTGAATACAACACATACACATGCTGCACATGTGCATACTTCAAGCAAGCACAGCTGGTGTATACGTATATACTTAACTTTAAAATTAAAGCTTTCTCAACTTTTAAAAGCTTAATACACTACTATTTTCTCAAGTTTTAGGAAATAAAAACTAACCATGAAATGTATCCATCTCTAGTATCACCCATACCCCCACTCAGAACAAAAAATATACAATAAAAGTTATTCATGATTCTGCATGGTGTGTTCTGATTCAGCCTCTTCTTTACAAGGGGCACTTTTGGAGGAAATAAAAGTTACTCTTTTCCATTAATTACATCTGCTCATTTACTACCAGTTTTTTTCTTGTGGTCAGAAGGAAACAAAATAGAGCTCCAAAGAGCCTGTTAAAAAATAAGCTACAATCAGACTATTGGGCCCTCACTATCAGCAGTGATCCCAGAGTTCTGATTTCCTTGTTAAAAGACAGAGGCATAATTGAAGCAATATCTTCACTTCAGATTGATTATCAGGCGACCCTTATCAGCATCTTCACTCAGCAATTTGAATTTTAATGAAAGTAAATGAAATAATTAGCATTTCAAAGTGTGTTTGATATACTGAATGAAAAAAAAGAAAAGACTTTTGTGTATAATTTATACACAAAAGTATTTGGGGGGGGCGCAGAAAGAGGAATGGTACAGTTGTAGTGTCTTCATTAGAATAACCTAAGGAATCACTTAAAACTATCTGCATAACGAGGTGAATATTGTGCTCTTCATGGCTAAAATTTCTTGCCTTTATTATTTCTATTTTGGCATGTTATTTTATTACATGTTACCTTTAACTGAGAGAACAAATATGTAAGTGGAGGTGGAGCAACTGCCCAAACCCATGAATTCCAGCAGGTTGTCTACGCAACATCGATGCCACTATTGCCAGGAAGGATTTTCTAAGTGGGCCACTGGTTTTTTCGAGAAAGTATAGCTCATCTATTATTTCTACTTCAAATGGACACTAACCCATAAGAACCATTCATCACAGGGGAGGAAGAGTTAGTAGCAGGGGAGATGTGAAAATACACATTTCACTAAAAATGATAGATACTCTATATAATCATTTGAGGAAAGATAAAAGAAATCAGGTCATTTTAACATCAGGGCAATCTGTTATCTTTTTTCTGGCCTAGGTTAGCAACAGAAGCTGGCTTCAAAGGAAAGAAATATTATGAAAAAGAGCTATCCAGCCTCCTTAAGGGAGAGTTTTCAGGAACACATCAACTTAAATTGGTGAGAATGTGATCCAAAGTTTCTGAGGCAGCCATCAAATTTCACATAAGATTGAAGGCAAAGTGCTTAATTTCACTTTGTGGGCATCTAATGCTTTTTGTCCCTTTGGTGGAACAAAATTTAAAAAGAGAGAGCGAGAGAGCTGATGACAAACACTAAGATCAGAGCTAAAATGGAAAGGCCACGTACCCCAATGATGGCGTTCAGTTCTGCCATGGTCACCTGCTTGGCCCGTTCCACAGCCTGCACCACTTGTTGCTGGTGCTATAAATGAAGATCAGAAACAGAATACAATTATTTGTTTTCTACTCAGTCAAACAGCTTTTCCTAACATGTCCTCTAACTTCAGTTACATGCAAAACAGTATGGGTGGGTCTCCAGATTTCCAAATACAAGCCCCAGTCAGTAGTGGGGAACCCATGGTCTTAAGGCCACATGTGGCCTTCTAGGTCCTTAAATGCGGCCTTTTGACTGAATATAGATTTTACAGGATAAACCTAAACTTTTATTAAAAGGGGTGCATAGAAAGATGAAGCTTTTCTTGCCTCCTTTGGTGCTTAGAAAAGAACACTCATGCAATCAGAAGGCCACAGGTTCCCCACCCCTGCGCAGGTGGTCATTTGGGTCCATAACACTGAGGAGTACTGGGCATCTAACTGCAGGCACCATCTCTGTAGCCCCATGAAGGATGGTTCCCTACAACAGCTTAAATTTCACTTTTAAATCAGTGGTGCACTTTGACCAAACATCTTCCACTAATACTAACAAAGAAAATACAACCCATTCCACCTGCTTTCTCTGTATCTACCCCCTTTTGTCTTTGCCATCTACATAAAAGTTTTTAAAATTATTTCCCAAGAGTACTTATTTTTAAATTTTCTCCTGATATTTGTGAGAGCAGACCCTGCAAGGACATAAAGAACTCTTATGTTTGTTCTGAAAATGTGCAAAGTGTTCGTGTCATGAAGGGTCACATATTTAAGAGATCAAAAATGTACAACTCAAAGGACTTCAGGTACTTCTTTTAAATGCAATAGAAAAACTAAAACCTGGGAGTTATTTTTCTTTAGAAAAATTAGGATGAATAGTACAAGAAAATCCCCCCCCCATCCACCAAGATTCAGTTCTAAGAAGAATGAGCAAGAATTGATGCTAGTAATTTTTGTTATATTGGAAAAATTAGGCAGCACAAAAGTCTCTGCAAGGGAGCACTCATTTTTATCTGGACGTACACAAGTGCATATACAAGTACCTCACCAAAATGTAAATATATTCCCAACTAAATATACTTGAACACTCTAGCATCTATAGACTCAAATTTGGTTTAAAATGGGTCTCTTTGGGCTTCTTTCAACTAGGTTTAGTGAATGAAGAACCAAAGCGATGGTGCTGTGAAATAGTACTCCTGTATGGCTGAAACAGTCTTATTTGGATGATCTCAGTTGAGAAATTTAGCTAACTTTCTTCATTATTTAAAGTGAATATGAAGCTTAATTATCATACTGCTTAAAACGTACAATGAGCTATCAGTTAACTGTGGAACTCCCCTTGAACCACCCAAGTCCCCTTTCCAAAACCATCACATATATAGTTACTGAGATTAATCAGGGTGACTGCTATTTCCACCTCTGAGCTATGTAGGGGGAGTGGGGAGGTGATGTGAGAAATGAACTGTTTTAAATTAGCTATCTACAGTGTGGTATTTTCACACTTGGTTTCCTAATGGAAATGTGTATTTTGTGCCTATGACTAACAGGAAAAAAAAAAGGTCAAATAATAGATCACTGCATTTTAAGCTTTTAGTAGACTCTGAACATTAAACTATATACTTTTTAATTTTTTTTTTCAAAATAGGGTCTTAAGAAACAATTCCAAAGTCTGTTTCTAGATCTCTCCATCCACTCTCTTACTCCTTACTAAAATATTTGTTAAAGTAAAATAATTCATTTCTTTCTCTGAACAAAGTAAAAAATCCTAAGAGATTATGAAACACTAAGAAGGAACAGAGAGAGAGGCACAGTCAATAAAATAGCTAGTAATAGTAACTTTAGATTCCCGTAAAGCTAGCATGACCATGTAAAATGTTTACTGAGCATTTACCATGTGACAAACCCAGAGCTCGTGTTTAGATTTAAGAACAATCTGATTCTCTGAGTAGTAAATGGCAGTACTTGGAAAACAGAAAAAGAGAACAGGCAGAACTCTGGGATTTATTTTATACTCAAAGTGAGATTATGGACAGAAATTTTTATGGGACTTCCCACCTATTACTCTCCAATACTCAACAATGGCTACTCAAAACTTCCAAAAAACCAAAAAAAAAAAGACCACATGTACTCAAATCCAACATGCATATCATTCAATCACTCATGCAGTCATTCAACAAAAGTTTTAAGCTCTTACTCTACCCTTTCTCCATACTACTGAAATAGTTCCATGTTACTGAAATATTATCTATTTTATATTAAGTATTCAAAGAGCAGTTTCATGAGACAGAGATATAGAAAATACATCTACTAAGGGCCTTTCTACCATGAAGATTGTTCAACATTCACTTCACAAAATAGATACCAATTGCTAAAAGAAGCAAAGATGCCTTAGGCGGTAGAGATATCTTTCTGGTTTGGCATTAAAATCAGTGTATTTTTTTTTTTTTTTTGAGAAAACTAGAAACACACACCAGTGAGCCATAACTATGACATCAGATGCTCCTGAAGAACTGTTGCTAAAAAGCTAAAATGACAATGGACGTCATGATTCAGTTTCTCCTTTTTGATGGTAATGGCCCTGAGCTAAAACAGCAACTGAACTTTACCTGAAGTTCATAATTCTACTTCCCTATTTCTGCTTACAACCCATGAATCATTTGCTGTTTAAAGACCTTTTGAACAGAAGCTCCATAAGGCAAACAACATCTCCTCCTCTGTGTGCTCTGAAAGCACTAGAAACGCCCTAATATTGCTCACTCAGTCACATAGTAACATTGACACCACAAAGCAGGTAAGGTGTGAAAATTAAAACTCAAGACAGGAAGAAGGGGCAAAAGATCACAAAAGAGAAAAATGAACACTCAAGGAAGCCCAAAGTACTCTCATAAACTGCCCCAGGAGGCATTTTTTTTCCATCTTCAGATTTTCCCAAATCAGCTCTCTGACTCAGAAAATATAGCAAGTTTTTTACATCTTGTTAGAACTATGAGAGCTTGCCCATTATGTGTGTCTTCTCTTCCCCTTCCCTATGTGTCCTCTCTTCCCACTCCACCCACATCTCATTTCCTCTCCCACTTCCTGCTTACTCCTCTGCCACTGTACCAAGAGTGGTGGCCACCACCCAGGCCCAGCCTATCTGCAGAAGGCAAGTGCCGGCACCTTTCTGACTGCTCAGGCTGCTAACTCAGATATGGCACCCTGTTCGAATATTCCACCAGCACCACCAAACAAAATGCCACTAAGGACATATTAATAAGCCAAGAGAAAGAGTAAGAGAGGGAGGTTTCTAACTGGAATTTGGAAGAGACAAATATTACCCAATTAAAAAATGAAAACAAAACAAAACCCCTAGATTGTGGTGATGGTTGCACAACTCTATAAATTTACTGAAAATTATTGAACTGTACTCTTAAAATGAGTGAATTTTATGGTGTGTAAATAATACCTCAATAAAAATGACTTTTAAAAAATACTGTGATTTAAGGAATGCAAGCGTGATTGTGGAAAAAAGCCAATAAAATGAAATTCTGTATGTTAAATCACCTGCCTACTTACTTTTATCATCATCAATTTGTGGCATTTGTTCAGGAAAAGTACGCAAAATATTTTTTCCTACAAGAAAGAGATCAAAATAATTAAGCTCATGGTAAGTCAAACAAAGCCTGCTGAGAAACAGACCTTAGTAAATCACTGATGTGTATAACAAGTGTTTTAATGTATGTTTCTCGGAAGGGATTATGATGACAATATCGGCCATGCCAATACTTTGGGGCATGGCAATACATGTGGTACTTCCAATATAAAACAGTAATAAAAAAACTATATTACGACTTAGAATTTTTTAAAGAAAACTCCCCCTATTGATAGGGGTAGTGAAGAAGTAAGTAGCAAAGGTAGAAATACAAAATGAACTAGGATTCCTATACTGAACAACATGAATTAATGTCCCCAACACGTGGAGATAACAAAGATAAGACCTAATGGCTCTGGCTTCTCAAAGACATAAAGCACATCTTATAACACAGAAATACAGAACATGAAATACTGGGAGAGATTTTAGGAAGAAATCACCAGCACACTTCCTGGGGCATCAGGGAAGTCTTTTTTTAATTAATTCACTGAAATATTTATCAAGCACCTACTGTGCACCAGGCACTCTGGTAGACAGGTACTGAGGTTAGAACAAGGAACATAGTCCCTGATCTCACAGAGTTCAAGAAAAAAACAGTAAATTAATAATACTTAAAAGGTTCCATAATTACAAACTGGAGGATAATTTCCATAAGAAAATTACAGGATGTTTTGCGATGATTTATCAGGGAAATATCTGAATCTAATCTTGGGGCCAAGGGAAGATTGGCTAAGGAAGATGAACTGACAACTGAGATCTGAAGGATCTGTAGGAGTTCTGTAGATGAAGAATGAGGAGAAAAGAATTCCAGGCAGAGGAAAGAGACTGGATAAGGTTCCTGAAGGAGAAAGAGCTTGCCTCTATGGAGGAAGGAAAAAATGTCTATGTGGCTAAAAGAGGAGAGCAAGTAGGAGATATAGTAGGGACAGGCAGGATAGGATTTTGTAAGGTCTTCTTGAGTATGGTAAGACATACCAGCAAAAAAACTATTTTTTGTTTTTAAGACAGGGTCTTGGTCTGTTGCTGGGGCTCGAGTACAGTGGCATCATCATAGCTCACTGAACCTCAAACTCCTGGGGATCAAGTGATCCTCCTCCCTGAGGCTCCTGAATAGCTGGGACTACAGGCACATGACACTATGTCAGGCTAATTTTTCTACTTTTTGTAGACATGGGGGTCTCACTATGTTGCTCAGGCTTGTCTCAAACTCCCAGCCTCAAGCAGTCCTCCTGCCTTGTGGCCTCCCAAAGTGCTAGGATTATAGGCATGAGCCACCATGCCTGGCCCCAAAAAACACTTTAAAGTAGAAGTACTATTTACAAAAAGAACAAAGGCAAATGCATGAAGACACATGAGTGAGTATGGTATGGAAATACTCTACAGAACCATGTATTAGTGGAAAATGAAATCTGGCAAGGCAGGAA